TGTCTCCACTGCTCCCAGATCACGTGTTCTAGGAATGGTGATGATAATAGCACCCTACATCTCTGAGATGGAAAATAAGAACCGGTAATGAGAGAAGAACTTTGCAACATGGTTTCCAGTCTCTGGAAAATGCAGCTGGACAGAATCGAGACATGTGTAAAAGCATTTCCTCCATAGTCAGAACTAGTTTTATTCTTTCTTTAGTGGGTTACTGACCGTATATCCTGAGGCAAGTTACTACAATTCTCTGAGGGTAAATATCCTCTTCTGTAAAATGAGAACATGTTGCTTTCCTCACAGTATCCTTATAAGGATTAGACCAAGGTAACTTGGGTAAATATTACAGTGTAATACCTGGCTTATCAGTGGATACTTGACAAATGTTCAACAGGATGAAAGAAGGTTAAAGTGAATCCATTTTAGTCACAGTTTCATATAGGTCTCAATATAACACCTTCAAAAAGAGAAGCAAGAAGCACCTGCTGTATCTGCAAAAGAAGGTGACAGAAACCAGATTTGTGCTCTTGTCTCCAGAACAGGGTTCATCAAACGTTTTCTGTAGAAGACCAGAGAGTAAATAGGCTTTATGGACAATATCATCTGTGTTGCACCTGTTCACTTCTGCTGCTGCAGAATAGAAGTATTCATAGGCAATGTACAAATGAATGAATGTGGCTTTGTTGCAATAAAACTTTACTGATAAACATAGGGAGTGGGTAGGACTTGACTAGAGTATGATAGTTCACTGACCTCTGCTCTAGACTATGAAAGATGTTGCAGCAGATGAATAAAAATGTGAGAGATTAGAAGAGGATTTGGGGATTAAAGGACTCACTTATGGTGAGTCCCTTATTACCCTATCACCCGCTTTGCACACCAAGCACAGGGTAACAGGGCAGAGAACAGCTTTCTTCATCTCAGGTGAGAAAGGGTTTGAAGAGACCACTCAAAGAGGAGCCTTTGTGAACTTGTGTCTAACTCGCACCTGAGACATTACCAGCTAGCCCATAGCTTGAAGGGAGAAGAAAGCAGCTGAACTGGGACTCAGTTGAACTCAGCATTTCTAAAAACAAAGGGTGCATTGTGGTCTTTTGTGGACCAATGTGAGCCTCACATAAGAGAGTTGTCTTAGCTCTTGCTTGAGAAGGGTGAGTGAACTTGATTGAAAAATGCCAGAGGCATACCAAAAAGAGGAAGCTAAAAGGGGAGCCCTACATGATCAACTGAAATAGAAATGCACTGTCTCACTGCAAGGGGGAGAGCTCCAGCCATACAGATGGGCTAGCATTATCACAGAAATTCACAGATGTTTGCTGAGAGGCAGAGTTAAACACTTGCCAGCCTCAAGGAGAACCTGTGTTCTCCCTCAATAGTTCTACTCAAGTAATATATTCTCTACCTCTTTTCTCTCTCCTTCTCCCCCATTCCTATTCTCTAGCCTGGAGGGGTCTGAATCAGGCTTAGGAAGATAGGATGAGATAGTAAAAGAGCAATTTAGAAGAAGAAAAAAGAAGCCAACTGTGCACGTCTCTTGGAGTTCAGGGAGCCAGACCCAGGAAAGAGAAGTAGCTGCAACATTGGTTAAGTTTAAAGTTTTCGCCTGTAATCCCAGCACTTCTGGAGGCTGAGGGAGGAGGATCACTTGAGCTCAGGAATTTAAGATCAGTCTGGCCAACATGGTGAAAACCCATCTCTACTAAAAATACAACAATTAGCTGGGAGTGGCACATGTCTGTAATCCCAGCTACTTGGGTGGCTAAGGCTGGAGAATTGCTTGAACCCAGGGGCAGAGGTTGCGGTGAGCCGAGATCACACCACTGGGCTCCAGCCTGGGCAACAAAGTGAGACTCCATCTTATCAAAAAAAAAAAAAAAAAAAAAAAAAAAAAGGTTTTGATTATTTCACTGGAATAGACAAATTAATTCTTTCTTAATTGCCTATATGCTACTTACTCATGCATGACCAGAAAAAATATAAGACTTACCCTAAATGTAATCCAAAGGCAGAACATAACCATCTCCACAGAATAAATGCAAAAGAAAAGTAGGAGATAAAAATAAAGTTACCTTATGATTGTATCTCATGAGATATGCTTTTCAAGGTAATGGATATAAATGTTAGTGTCCTTTTCATATCCAAGAACATGAACTTAGTTAAAACTGGGCCAGCAGCTCTATATTCTATCATAGTTACTGAACTTTCATTTACTGAAAGAAACATTTCAATGCACATCTTATTCCTCAAACGTTGCTGTTCGATTATAAAACCAGATCATCAAACAGTTTGGGAATCTAAGCTATGGGATATAGACTAACCCCTCACCTCAACACAGTACATTTCCGTGTTCTAGATACATAAATCTAGAAACGTACATTATGACACGTTAGCATCTTAGAACTGCAGCATTCGTTATCTTAGAATCAAAGCAGCCCTGTTTCTTGGGATAGAGCTTATTAGAAACATAACCTCAAGATACCTTACAATCTAAGATAAAAAGCCTCTCAAGATCTTAACATCATGGAAGCTTAGAAAAGTAGTCTTAGATTTAAAGAAACCTTACAATAAAAAATAGAATCTTAGAAATTTAGAATTGTGGCTTCTTAGAATCATATCACTTAAAACTTTACAGGTCTTCTATAATCTTGGGATCATAGAATTGCTAAAGGTCAGAATCCTAGTGTGTTAGAAAACTGAAATTATGGCATTTTTGAGTCCTGCAATTGAATCTTGCTGGGATCTTAGGTATTATCTATTTCAACTTCTACACAATGTAAAGATCCCTTTATAAAAGTGTTAGCAACAGCAGCAATATTGAAATTGTACAATAGATAATTCTTTGCTGGGGGGAGCAGAAACAGGCACTCACCTGTGCACTGCCGGATTTCTGACCTCTACTGAGTGGTTTCCACTAGCACCTCTTCAGTGATCAGCCATTGACAAATGTCCCAACCACTGTTTTATACATCCTTGGTGTGCAGATTTCTCTGGGGGAGGAAATTATCTTCTAAGACTTTTTTCAACATTTAAAATGGAATGTATACTCTGTGCTAGACCTGATCTCATTTGAATCTCTCAGTTACTATCTTTATGTTTTACAAAAGAGAAAGTGGAGGTTTAGAAAAGTTGACTTACTGGGTCAGGGTTACACAATTGATAGCGGGTTGGAGAAGAATTTAAAGCTGTAATATTTTGACTACCCCACATCTTTAAAAGCTGAAACTGTCCCGACTTTACTGTTTGGACAGCATTCGCTATAAGAAATCACTTCTTTTGTTGAGCCAGATCCTATTTTTTTTTCTCCAGTCTATATTCATAATGTCATTATCATATGGTTATGGGTTTATGACTAAAAGGCTATATATGAAGTTAGTTTCTATAATCAGACTCTCTGAAGTCCAATTACAACTCATGACATATCACTGTGACCTTGGATAAGTTCTTCACTATTTTTTTGCCTCACTTTCTTCAACTGGTATCGGGGTAATTTACTGTTGTGTGACTAGAGACTCCCCCAAAACTTAACATCTTAAATTAACATCTATTTCGATATAACTCATAATTTTCTGGGTGAGAAATCTGGGCAGAGATTGGTTGAGCTGTTGTTTTCTCCACAGTGTTGACAGAGGCCACTTGATGGTATTCCGTTGGTAGGTGGTTGGTCTGGGGTATCCAGGAAAGGTTTCTCACATGTCTGGCACCTTGGCAGTGATGACTGGGATACTGGCTTCATATGCAACTATTGACCAAAGGGCAGGCACGGCCTCTCCAGGTAGAGTGGTAGAAATTCTTAGATGATGGTTCTGGGATCCCAAAGTGAGATTTCCAGTAATGAAGGGGAATGTTGCATGGCCTTTGATGACCAAGCTTTTGGAGTCACTGAGTGTCTTTTCTTTTGTTCTCTATAGGCCAGCAGTCATAGCCTGCCTAGATATAAGGGAAGAGGGCATAGACCTCACCTTATCATGGAAGAAGTATCTAAGAATTCACAGTCATATTTTAAAACCACTGCACCTATAAAATGAGACAATAATAATTCTAACCTCATTGAGTTTTGAGTCTTAAAAAAAAGCTACACTTGTTAAAAGCTTATGACACAGTTTAGCATGTAATGACTGATCCGAAATATAAGCTGTTTTTATTTACAGATGGGCTCAAATTCACAGGAATATCTCTGCAATTGCAAAATTACAGAGTCCTTCTTGCCTTCTCAGTGCAGTGGAAACATTAAGGGTTGGGTGGAAGCCAGGGTGCTTGAGGACAAGGAGTTAATTTAGACACAGTTCCCATGAGAGGGACTGTGAGATTAAAAAAATAATCCATTTTAGAGTATAAAAGAGCTGCTTCCATAAGTGATCAAGGCAGAAGGGCTGCCCTGGATTTATTCATGTCTGTATTGGAAGTGACGGCACATGTGTGCTACCCTTATGTAGCTACTGTGCTGGGCACACGTACCAAATACACTTAGAAGGGGAAATGATAAATCATGAACAACTATGAGCTTCTCCTTGAATGGAACCATGAGGGGGGAGATCCCCCAAGCAATTCAAACTCAATTACTCTGTTCACCGAGTGTTTGAAATAGAAACAAATGAAGAAGGCAATTGCAGAGGCAGGCAGCATTCATCAGTGCAGCTGGATGCATTTTGTCCTGAGCCACTGGTTAGATTTTGTAAAACAAAAACAGGAGTAAAAATAATAAGAGTGACCCCTCACACTTGCAGAGCATGTCAGAATTAGCAAAGTCACCTGCTAGTCGTCATCCCCTTGAGTTTTCCTGTAAAGCCCAAGTGGTTAATTACAATTGTCCAATGGAGTGACTGGATTTTATACACATCGATGGTCTTCCCCATTGTTACAGACTATCAGCTGTCAGGCCTAGAGCCCAGTCTTTTGGGTCCTTGCTTAGGCTTATTCCAGTGTATTACCAGTGCTCCTATCTAGTAAAGGTTTATTTAGTATAAAATTAGGAAATGGCTCAGCTTTTGTTCTTTCTCTTACAGAGAACAATTCAATAATGAGAACATCCTTGAGGATCACAGAGTCCAGAGTCCCCAGAGAGAGAGACAGGAATCATGTCTTGTAGATGGTGAGTTACCTACACATATGTCTAGGTAAGGCCATATGTGTAGAATGGGTGAGGTGTTTCTACTACCATAAACTCTCTCTTGTCTTCCATCTAAGTGTCCTCTGTTCTGCTGGCTTTTTCAGTGTCCGGGTCTGGATGAGGGTGACTCACCTGCATGACGGTGGCTCATGAATTTCTGGAGCCCATGGCATCCACCATAGTGACTTTGTTAGTTTGCTTGGGCTTTCATAACAAGCACAGACTGGGTGACTTACACAACACAACCTTATTTTCTCACCATTCTGGAGGACGGAAATCTGAGATTAATGTGTAAGCAGGGTTGATTTCTTCTGAAGGCCCTGTCTTTGGCTTGCAAGTGGCTATTATACCCCATTGTGTCTTCATATGGTCTTCCCTCTCTTCATATCTGTGTCCTAATCTCCTCTTCATATTTGGACACTAGTCATGCTGGATTAGGGCCCACCCTATCCTATGACCTCATTTTAATTCATTCCCTATCTAAAAATCCTGTCTCCAAATGCAGTCACATTCTCAGGTACTAGGGGTTAGACTTCAACATACAAATCTTGAGAGGGACACAATTTAGCCTATAACAGTGATCTTCAGAGTAGATTCATCTGCCCGTCTCTGTCACTCTGAGCATGTTAATTCACATGTTAGGTACCAGCACTAAAGTGTGCCAGGCTCTGTGCCAATTAGGCCCTTAGCGTACAGCAGAATGCAATGCAACCACAAGCCCAAACTCACAGAGTGAAAGATGAACATCTCTCTTATAGTTTGTAATGTAGCTTTCAGCTGCATTACAAATTCCTACCTTAAAGGTTTGTTGTGAATATTAAAAAGTTTACACACGTAGAATGCTTAGTATAAGTGTAGGCAAACAGAAAAAGACTATTCAGTATAAAATTAGAAAATGGCTCAGCTTTTGTTCTTTCTTTTACAGAGAAGAACAATCCAATAACGAGAACATCCTTGAGGATCACAGAGTCCAGAGTCCCAGAGAGAGACAGAGCAATCATGGCTTGTAGATGGTGAGTTAAGAGACATCAGTCACAACTACTTTAGGCTGACTTGTGATCAGAAACTACCCAAAAAGACAGCACGTAGCAAGTCCTGTGTGGCCCTGATTGTACCTCTAGGACCAGGTGTTAGAGAAATAGTTGGCTTCTATCCAAGTAAAGTTCAACTCTGTAGGACAAGGCGTTAGAAAAATCACTGGTCTGTATTTGAGTTAAACTCAAGTCTGCAGGAGGACTTCCTTTTGATGAGCTTTGCCCTCAAGGATAACAAATGGAAGGTATGAACTGTGGGCCTTATATGGGACTATACTTAGAAGGGACTCAGGAAACAGTCAGTGAAGGCAGAAAAGAAGGGGGACTTGTGAAACCAAATCAAAGATAATTTTTCCATGTTTTAGCTGGGGCAATTTGGTATTACTTAAATGACAAGAGTCGAGAAGGGAAATCAAAGAGTAGAAAGAGGTAAATCAAAAGTGGTATTCAGATCCTTGAGATGCCCATTAGACATCCACATAGAGATGACTTGTGGGCAGTTGTGCACATAAATCTGACTTCTAGAGAGAGGTCAGAGCTGTAAGCCCTGGGTTAGGAAACCATAAGCATGCCAATGTCATTTAAAGCCCAAGGGCTGGTAAGGTTAGCTAAGGAGAGTATTCTGAGAGAGAGGAAAGCAGGCTAGATCAATCTTGGTCCTATGCTGGCATTCTTACAGTTAGAGCTTTAATAGAGAAAGAACCAGAGAAGATGCTGAGAAAAAGTCACCAAGAATCTGGTATGTGAAAAGGACTGGGTGGTGTATTGGAAGTCAACAACAAAAACAAAAGTGTTTTCAGACAGAGGGAGTATTTATTACATTTAATATGGCTGTGATGTCATTAAATAAAAGAACAGAAAAGCAACCATTGAATTTGGCAAAATGGAGGGAATTATGTCCTTGGTAAGAACATATTTAGTAGAGAGGTAGAGGGAGAAACGTAATGGAAGTTAGTTGAAAAGAGAATGTGAGATCAGCAAGTGGAAAAGGTACTATGGTCAACTGCTTTAATAATGTTTTCCATGAATGGGACTCAAATTTTGAATGACTATGAACTTTGCTGTTAGTAGCATCTTACTGCCATCTTACAGATTTGCTGCCAGAGGGGAACAGAAACAAAACTTAATTTTCTCAGTTCTAGTTAAAAAAAAGAAAACCAGTTGGGATACCATCTTGGGTCACTTAATCGTAACCAAGGACTCCAAAAGAATCTGGAAGCTTACAGATAAATCTAAGGCTGGGATGAAAAAAGAGCATTTCTCAGATGTAGATTGACATGAGGGGGAGGGATGTTTTTGAATAGAGGAGGAGTGGTGCTGGATAAATAAAGCAGAATATAAGGTTCACTAAATGTACGTGACAACGATGTGAGGCAGATAGGGGAGTATTTCACAGTTCATGCAGGAGGAAACAGGCTTCTGTAGCTCCCCAGTGCAGAGTATAAATTCATACCCAGATGTAAAGGGCTTCCAAGAGCTTATACTCATTTCAGATGGTTATATAATGTCATGCACTGAAAGTCAATGCTATATTTAAACAGCAGGAGAAACAGAAGAGGTGGATCTTTAGGTGTTATGCAGTCGTTTTCTGGAAACTCTCCTGTGCCCTTTCAATGATGCCACATGGGTGCTGTTTACTTTGCCCACCCATGAAGACCTCCTGTGGGTCAGGAATAGGTGACATTCTTTTCTAGGGATCTCAGCAGAGTTCTCTTCATGTATGCCTCTGCTAAAATTGTTAAACCATGAGAAGTACTTTTTTGCATAAGTAAGCTTTTAAAATTCTATTTTGCTGTGTTTCTCTTCTGTTAATTTAGCAAGCAGCTCAACATCTCAAGATCTCAAGATAGTACATCTTCTTGACTTGGTCATGTCTAGGCTCATCTACATGCTTTGAGAGGAAAAAGTGAAAAGCGAAGAATCACTGTTGGCTGGTTCTGATTCATTATTAAGTGTCTGTGAATGTGTGTGTGTGTGTGTGTCTTTTTTTTAGGCAACAATATGATAATATCATATTTTATATAAGAGAATAAGCCTATGGTCATAGCAGTATTATTTAAAGAAAAACACACAGTAACAAAAGTGATTTGGGGTTATCTGGAGCTACATTTTAGTTTGTGTGTGGTACAATTATATGTGGATTTGATTTTGATAATCTAGCTTCTCCTGTCTATAAAACTGCTAAAATGTCAGGCCCTATTTTGTATTGGCCTTGTCCTGGTAGTTTAAGATAATGCTGATTTCTAAGGGTAGCTGGTAGAAGTGAAGAAATTATAAGAGTATTAGATTTGTTGCTTAGTATATGCTCAGCCTCTTAGATTACACAGTTGAGCTAATCATTATAATTTGTTGTGAGAAAATAAATATTTTTCAACACCAATCTGATTCTTGAATAATCAGAATAATCATCAAACCAAGGCTGGGCTATTACAGTGACCTACTGTGCATGTGTGTGGTTAATCTACAGTCAGTATTGCATGAAGGCAACCTAGTGTAGCAAAAGGAAATGGAGTTTGGATTCCAACATTTGGAGTCAATCGAGTTACTTCCGTGTCTTACTACTTCTTTGATTTGTGGTATATTATGGCCTCTTTGGGTCAAGTTTTCTTATTCTTAAAGCTGCAATGATAATATGCAGGTTCAAGGATTTTCATGAACTTTAAGAAAATTATGGTAAATAGCAGTGTCAATTCAGCCTATGGCAGACCCCAGGAAGGATGTTTCTTTCTTACTATGCAGGCTTTTTTATTTTCTGTCTGCCTATGTCAAATGGTGATCATAGAATCATGAACCCCAACGGAATTATGGTCATCATCGTAAACAAAGCGTTAAGACATGAGTAAGGATTGACATTACGAGTACACAGCTCTCCTTGTTCAACTTTCCAAAGTATAAAAAATTGTCGGCCAGGCGGGGTGGCTTATGCCTGTAATCTCAGCACTTTGAGAGGCTGAGGAGGATGGATCATGAGGTCAAGAGATCGAAACTATCCTAGTCAACATGGTGAAACTCTATCTCTACTAAAAATAAAATCTGGACCTGGTGGCATGCACCTGTAGTCCAGATACTCAGGAGGCTGAGGCAGGAGAATTGCTTGAACCCAGGAGGGGGAGGTTCAGTGAGCCGAGACGGCACCACTGCACTCCAGCCTGGACTACAAAGTGAGACTGTCACGAAAAAAAAAATATATATATATATGTGTGTGTGTGTGTGTGTGTGTGTATATATAGATAGATAGATAGTTAAAATTGTACTAAAAAACCAAAAATATATGATCAATATTTTACCATGCAGCATGTCATAATAGCAGTACAATATAAACATCAGTTTTTTAAAAATTATAAATAATTAATCGCTGCCCTAACCAAAAAAACTATGGTCTCTTCATACATTGTCTTCATGCTGTATCTAAGGGACAGTGAGTATTCCGTGTTATGCTCCGTATTTGACTATACTGATATCAAGAGATTTCACAATTTCTGCCCTGAATATGAATGGCTTATAAAATTAATAAAAACAGACCAAAAATAGCATTATTTGTAAAATGTCTATGGATTTTCTGAGAACTAGCTTATATTTTATTACAGTTGGTGCTCCCGGTAATTTTATAGAAGGGCATTAGTATGCCCATGCTATTTTAATAGATGAGGAAACTGAGGCCTGAGGAGTTTAACCAAGGCAAGGAGTACCAATGATATTTGAACAAGGACATTTGTCCTTCAGCCCAGCTCAGAGCTTATATTGAAAATAGCAGATTATTGTTGCAAGTCAGTTATTCTCGGTCAGTATTTTGTTTGACACATAGGATATATTCAGCAAAATGACGTGGAGCATTGCCTTAAAAATGAACGTATATGGGCCAGGCGTGGTGGCTCACGCCCGTAATCCCAGCACTTTGGGAAGCCGAGACAGGCAGATCATGAGGTCAAGAGATCAAGATCATCCTGGCTAACACGGTGAAACCTCATCTCTACTAAAAATGTAAAAAAAATTAGCCAGGCATGGTGGTGGGCGCCTGTAGTCCCAGCTGGTAGGGAGGCTGAGGCAGAAGAATGGCATGAACCTGGGAGGCAGAGCTTGCAGTGAGCAGAGACGACACCACTGCACTCCAGCCTGGGCAACACAGCAAGACTCCGTCTCAAAAAAAAAAAAAAAAAAAAAGAACCTATAGGTAAATGGAAAGGGGATATGGAGAGATAAACCTGACATTCAAGTTCAACTTATATTTATTAATGGCTACTTTGTACTAGCCATTCTCAGTGATCTTCTTCTGAAATATGGGATTGAATTCTCTCAACATACTCATCTTCAGTTAAGGAAACCAAATTTTGGAAATATAAAATAACTTGATTAAGGACACACATCCAGCAGATATGGGAGCTAGAATTTGAATGTAGCTTTCCTTAATACAAGCCCAGTGCCGTCTGTATTGTTTCTGATGTGTAGTTGATGAATACAAAGGCATTTCATCATGCCTATAGAAATTCACAAAACAAACTTATTTCAGAATTTTCTAAGTGTAAGGTATCAAGTGGGTGTGTAATAGAATTCTCTTGCTTATTTGTAATTGTGCATCCACGTAAATCCTTATAATCACAACATATATAAAAATCAAGTGGTGTTTTAAGGATAAGCAGCCAGAAATTGTGACTCTTCATGTTAAGACAGAACAAAGATCTGAACTGACAGTTTTCAAGGCCAGTTTAAAAGTCAGACACACGCATAAATGAAGGGTCTTTCTGTGTCTCCTTGTTGGTACTAACGAGAACACAGCAGCCCACGTCACCACATTGCCATTTGTCGTGCACCTGGCAAGCTAAGCAATGAGCAGAAGCTGATCAGAAAACTTTTTATGAGAAAATGCGTCCTGAGAATGAGCTAAGTGATGGGAATTTATTTTTAAAGTGTGAGTCAGTGCTTTGAGAGCCAGTATGAAATGCCTAATGCATGGGAGATCCATAATACTGAGAATTCATTAC